ACCGCGGCTCTCGCGAGACTTACACTGGGAGCTGACCGAGGTGCTGACCGGACCGGCACGGAGGAGGAGGGAGCGACAGGAGCTGCAGGAGAGGTAAGTAACAGCTCTGCCAGCCCCCAGTCTGTATTATGGCAATGTAAATTGCCATAATACAGACACTGACTCTAGTATAAGCTGAGTTGGGGTTTTTCAGCACAAATAATGTGCTGAAAAACTTGGCTTATACTCGAGTGTATACGGTACTCATCTCAAACAGATTGACAAACACAGATATACATTCCAGACACACTCATGGATACACATACAAACAGAAACATTCACTGCCAGACATACACAACCAGGCACCTGCGCAGATACACAAAGCCTTACACGCACACATAGATAAATATATACACTGCTTGACACACTCAATCATATATACACACTGTCAGACATACACTGTGATGGTCTCTGTCAGTATGTGTGTTCTTGTGTGTGTCTGCATCAGTGGTGTGACGGACCGCCATCACTGAGTACCATGCCCACTTGCTTGCCTGTATTGTTTCAGATCCCCATGTCGAGGATCTCCCTATCTAAAAGCCAATGTATTGGTTGTGTGGTCCCCTTGTTCGCAAACCATGTTTGGGATGGATTGGAAGATTGTGCTTGTCCCATTCTGGATATGATATTGAAACACAGGGGGTTGTTTGTTCCTTAAAGCTGATAACCATTAACATGTCAAAGGACTTTTTATCTAAGAGGCAAACCAGGCTTCCAGGCCACTTAGGTGTGACTTCTCACACCTTACCGATTAGCTCTGTTGGCGTACCTATTTCAATGAGTAACTCAGGTTGTAAGCTCTGTCCTTTCATACAATTAACCCCTTTTGTAATGTTAAGATGTGTGTGTGTGTGTGTGTGTGTGGGGATTTGAAACTATTGTAGTCTTTTCTGGACCTGAGAGGGAACTTGATTATCTCTCAGGCACAGAGGATCATGGGAGGGATTACCCTCTAGACCAGGGGTTCTCAACCGAGTCCTCAGGACCCCCTACCAGTCCAGGATTTGGGGATTACCTGGGTGTGTCTCAGGTGTTTAGAAAAAGGGGGAAAAAAACACCTTAGACTCTAAGGTGTTTTTCTTTTTCTAAACACCTTAGACACACCCAGGTAATCCCTAAACCCTGGACTGGTAGGGGGTCCTGAGAACTAACGTTGAGAACCCCTGCTCTAGACCTTAGAGGGAACTTGATTATCTCCCAGACACAGGGACGCCGGGGAGGGCTTATGTTTTGGGTTACTTTGAATGGAGACCCCTTGGGGTCTGTGCATAAAAGCTGTGTGTTCCAAATAAAGATTGTCAGAGTTTGTACCTCCAGAACTGTGTCTCGTCTAGTTACTGGAGGGAAGGGAGATTAACTCCTGTGTCTTCTGATCCAGCTTGCACGGGATGCAGCTGGGAAAGTCCTTGTAAGGACTAAGAGAGCTAGTTCCCGTATTTGTTTCCTGGTTCCAGCTTGGAAGCAGTCCTTTGGCTGACGTACCCACAGTGGTGTATCCTGGTTTTGTGCTGCCCTAGGCTCCCTCGCCAGCCGCCCGCCCGGCATGTCTGTTAGCCGCGAGGCTAACAAGGCATTTGCCCTGGGCATTTGGGGGGCGGCGCCCCCTGGAAAATGCCGCCCAAGACAAATGCCTTGTTTGCCTCGCGGCTAATACGCCCCTGCGTACCCAGCCGGGGAACAGGGAGCTCCGCTACAAGTGTGTTTATGTGTTTTCATGTATCTGTGTGTGTGTGCATATATTAGTGCACGCATGTGTGTGATCAGTGTAGGTATATATGTGTTGGGTGTAACAGTGTGTATGTGTGTCCACATAGGCAATGTGGCAACATATTCGTATATTAGTGCACAATATAAGTGCGTTTGAGATGATGTATATGTGAGTGGATTATAGACTACGTGGGGGGAAATGACAATGTTACATACAGAAATATTATTTATTTGCTACATTGTTTATTCTGTCTGTAACTTCAGTATTTGTAATATTTGAGTTGCCGTATTAGTCCAGTAATGTTGATGTGAAATCTTGTAATACATTTGTATTGGACTTGCAGAAAGCTCGTTATTCAACTTTCTGTTAGTCCAATTAAAAAAGGTATTACAAGTAACTGCAATGATGCATTATTTTGCATCTACTTAATAATTTGGTGGGGTTTTTTTTGTTATTTTTTTTAAAGTATTAATTTTGTTTCAATTAAATAATGCCCTATCAGTGCATACGGAAACTAACTCACAATTAGCTCACACACAGGGAGCTGATCGACTTCCAATACAAATCATAAATAAAAAGTGGGTAATCTGGACCCCAATAAAACTGGGTAGTGACGTGAAGTATGTTCTCAACCTCTTCTGTCATCTTACTGATTTTAATTTTAAACCTTTTGTCCTTTTATTTAGTTGTGAGTGTTATCCTGTATTTAACTTGGAATTGCTGATGGTTGTTTTTATTTGCTTGCTTGGTACTACTGTCCTGATTTCTGTAATTAAAACCAGGATAAAAACTATTTTTTTTTCTACATGGATTCTGGTATGCAGGCTGATACTCAGTTTTCCTAAGCACAGTCTCTTCCATGGCCTCTTTACATGTGACGTGCAAAAAATAAGCTTGGATTAGGAATTCCATGTAAACTTTTCCGATGTGGAAAAGGCACTGATGCTTCTGAATAATATAGGTTTCTCGAAAACTTAAAAAATCACCTTGAGTTCATCCATGAATTATTGTTTAGATGATATATGATACACACTTGACTAGCCTATATTTATCCTTTTGTGTCTAGCAAATGTTGGTAAGAGTGTGGTAGTGATGAATCATACCTGCACATTTTATGGGCTTGCCCAAAGATTTACCACCTCTGGATGGCTCTTTTTGATCTCCTGGAGAAAAATTCAATAAATAATATCGTTTTTATTTATTTCATTCAAGCAGACTTTTTATCAGTATACTTGGCCAAATTTTGTCAAAATGTCAATCAATCTTGACAAGCCTCATTTTTTTTTTCCCCCTAAAAAATATTATATTGTTAGAACCTAGAAGACCTTTAATGTTCTTTCCTTAGCCTAAATTCAAGAAGTTGTTCAAATTGACCAAACTAAGGAAGCTATTGAATATTAAGGCTGCAATACGAGTCATTTGTTTAAGAAAAAAATGTCCCTATTCTCCGATCAACTTTCATTGTCTTAAAAACTGTTCTATAGACTTTGTCTTCCATAATTGCCTTGCTTTTGTTATTGCGCTATGCGCTACATACCTTAAAGGACCACTATAGTGCCAGGAAAACAAACTCATTTCCTGGCACTATAGGGTCATTAGGTCCCCACCACCCTCAGGGCCCCCTCCCGCTGGGCTGAAGGGGTTAAAACCCCATTCATCCACTTACCTTTCTCCAGCGCCAGGCTCCCACTGCGCTGGTGACCTCTCCTCCCACTGCTGACGTCAGATCCGAATGCGCATACGCGGCAAGAGCCGCGCGTGCATTCAAATTGCCCATAGGAAAGCATTACTTAGTGCTTTCCTATAGACATCAGCGTCTTCTTACTGTGATTTTCACAGTCAGAATTTCGGAAGCAGCCTCTAGTAGCTGTCAGTGAGACAGCCACTAGAGGCTCGATTAACCCTGATGTGCATTTTCAACTGCTATGTTTTCAGCTGCAGGGTTAAAACTAAAGGGTCCTGGCACCCAGACCACTTAATTGAGCTGAAGTAGTCTGGGTGCCTATAGTGGTCCTTTAATACTACATTGCTTATAAACATCATAAACACGTTTTAAAATAATGATTGTAAAAAGTTAGCATTGACTGTTGCGCTTTTGTAGGATAGCCAATATATAACTTTCTTAAAAGTTATAAATGTACATATACTCAGTAATGCACATTTGCTGGGTCATGTTAGGTGCTAAAACCTGTTCTTCCTAAGTGTAGGGCATCCCCATTGGGAATAAGTATCTGTATGCACACCCATAGGCGTGCGCAGCCTATTGCATTAGGGTGTGCACCCTAAAGCACAAACACACGCCGCATGTATGTATGTGTGTGTGTGTTTGTGTGTGTGTGTGTGTGTGTATATATATTTATTACATATACTGCTGTGTGTGTGTGTGTGTGCTGTTCGTGCGCTGTGTGAGGATGCTGTGTGTGTAAGGGTGCTGTGTGATATGTGGGTAAGGGTGCTGGTAGTGTGCTGTGTGTGAGGGTGCTGTTTGTGTGTTGTGTGTGAGGGTCCTGTTAGTGTGCTGTGTGTGTGTGTGTGTGAGGGTGCTGTGTGTGTGGGTGCTGTTTGTGTGGTGTGTGTGTGTGGGTGCTGTTTGTGTGATGTGCTGTTTGTGTCGTGTATTTGTGAGGGTGCTGTTTGTGAGGGTGCTGTTTGTGAGGGTGCTGTTTGTGTCGTGTATTTGTGAGGGTGCTGTTTGTGAGGGTGCTGTGTGTGAGGGTGTTGTGTGTGCTGTGAGGGTGCTGTTAGTGTGCTGTGTGTGCATGCTGTTTGTGTTAGGGTGCTGTATGTATGTAGGTGCTGTGTGTATGTGTGCTGTATGTTTGGAGGGATTGTGAAGGTGGGGGCAGATTAGTAAATAACCCCCCTCCCTTCTTATCTTATGTAGGGAGGGGGATCCTTGCTGTAAAAAGGGAGAGTGAACTCTAGCCTGTGGGGCAAGAGTTCACTCTAGCGAGATCTGAGCATTGCCGCGGCAACGCTCAGATCTCGCGAGAGGAACCTGGCAGAGCTTCTGTCTAGAGCTCCCCGGGTCGTCTCCTGCCTCCCTCCATGCTGCTGTGGGCTGGTGAGGTAGATCTTTGATATCCCCGCCGTCCCATGGAGGCTTAGAGCAGAGCCGGCACTCAGCGCCAGCTCTGCATGAGCCGACAGGAGAGATCCGGAGATCTCCCCTGCCGGCAGGGGTCAAGTCCTGGGGAATAAATAGATTCCCACCCCCCCCAAAAAAAAATAATATACACTCGTGTGTGTGTGTGTGTGTGTGTGTGTGTGTGTGTGTGTGTGTGTGTGTGTGTGTGTGTATATAATATATAATTATACGCGTACACTCACAGACACACACTCACAGAAACTCACACATACACTCACAGACACACATACACACACACATTCACACACAAATACGCAGACACACACTCACAGAAACTCACACACACACTTACAGACACACACACATACATTCACAGACACACACATACACACACAAATACTCAGACACACACATACATTCGCAGACACACATACACTCACAGACACATACATTCACAGGTACACACACACACTTACAGACACACACACATACACTCACAGACACACATTCATTCACAGACACACACACATTCACAAATTATTATTTTTAATTAAAAATTGTCCACCCAGCCTCCCTACCTGGAGAGCTGGCGTGGACTTGTCCCAGGGGTCCAGTGGGTTTGGGCGCCTATCTCCATACAACAAGCGGCGAGGGAGCTGTGTGCTCTCTGCTTCCCCTCGCCGCGCGGGTTGTCTGCTGTAGCTGGGAGCCGGAATATGACGTCATATTCGGGCTCCTGCCATCAGCAAACGGCGCGCGGCGAGAGGAAGCAGAGAGCACACAGCTCCCTTGCCGCTTGTTGTATGGAGATAGGCACCTGACCGGGGGGGTTTCCATCACCTCTTGTCCCTCTCCCCCCCCCATGAGAGGGGGAACACGGGGGGAGGAGGAGGGCGGCATTTGGGAGCGGCAGAGTGCCTGCAGGAACAGCGGGAACGGTGTTTCCACGTGTTCCTGCAGGACTCACAGGCGTGCCGCGGGCATTAGGGTGTGCCCAGGCACACCCCGTGCGCACGCCTATGTGCACACCTCCTTGGGTTTTATTTCTCTCATAGTCGGTAATTTCAGAATGTTCAAAATTTACCTTAAAGGAACACAATTGGCACCAAGACCACTTCATTTCATTGAAGTGGACTGGGTGCAGTTTTCCTGTCCCCTTAACACTGCAACTGAAAACATTGCTGTTTTAGAGAAACTGCAATGCTTTTATTGCTGTTTTAAAAATTCCTCTTGTGGCTGTTTTACCAGTGCCTGTCTTGCAAATCCCCCATAGGGAAGCATTTGATTGAGGCATAAGAACACTATAGTGGTTGGAAAACAGCTTTGTATTCCTAACACTATAGTGTTCCTTTAACAACTCATTACTGTATTGTGTATGGTATTATTTTGTGATATCTTAACAGTGTTTCTCAACCCTTTACCGAATAGTACATCTTGAGGTCTAAAAAAAATTATTTTCTCAAGACAGTGGTACTTAATTTCTATTGATTTTTAAAATTCCTAATGAAATGTCTGGACACTGATATTTAAGTTAATCCCATATTGGAGAACAAGCCTGATTAAACGTAGTAAAGAATATTTTTAAAATGAGTATGGCATAATGTGAATTTTGTGTATGTATGTAAGGAGGGGTGTACTATTAATCTGAAGTATAAAACTCACAACATGAATATGTAATAAACACACAATAGTTACACACAGAAGACACTGATGCGCGCGCGCACACACACACACACATTTACACACAGAGGACCCTGACACACACACTTACGTGCAGAGTACACTGACACGCACACACATAGGACACTGACACACATATTTACATACAGAGTACATTGACACCCACACACAGAGGACACTGACACACATATTTACATACAGAGGAACAAATACACAAACACTTACACACAAAGGACACACTCACTGACCGGCAAATCTACTGACACAGACAGACACAAAGTTAGACACAGAGGGCACTGACACACATAGGAAACAAACACACACACACACACACACACAAGCATACTATTACTGATTTGACACACACACACACACACACACACACACACAATCTACTCAGGGCAAGGATCGTTTCAGGCCATGCATGGTCTTGTGATTACAAGCTGTATTTGCAATTTCATTTTGTAACTCTTGTCAGTTCTATTTGTTGCTCATATTGCTAAATAAACTCATATTTAAAACACAGATTCTCAGTAATGCGTGCTGAAGATCTGTGTATTGCCCTGCGTATAAGTGCAGTGCAGCTGCAATAAAAGTTTATTGAAAACAAAATAAATGAGAACTGCAATTACTTATTTTCTTTATTTTATTGAAAATTTTCAGCATATAATTATTTATAAAATATGTTACCAGGAAGATTGAGATTTCTCTTGTTTTCAAGTATGTCCTGAGTCCACAAACATATAGGAAAGCGTTTGAAATCATGAAGGCACAGGATTTTATTTTCCTTTATAAATGTAAATATTTTTATTAAATATTTTATACATGTGTATATATAAAAAAAATCCCCCAACTAACAATATCACTAAGCTTTATATAGGCTGCTCTATAACCATCCCTATGTGAAATAAACATGGAGGAAAGAGTTCTGAGAAACATTTGGTGTTTCACATTTTATTCTAACGTCTACCTTGCAAGTGGGGCTTGTCTACATGTTTTTTTTTGTTTGGTTTGTTTATGGACATAATTCACATTAGCACTGTTAAATTATTTTACCAAGCATTTTAGGTGTGAAAACGGTGTGTTCCTTTTACGTATAATAAAACTGGGTTTGTTTTGACCAAAATAAATTAAGCTGTATGTTATTTTTTCTAATGGTTGCAGTTCTATTTGTGCAATTGAACTCTCTATTACATTGTGGTGTGACACAGCTCTATAGATTATTGAAGAGCTAACCCTTCAAGGGATTGACCTGGGGACCCTGATTATTTGGTGGTGCCTGATAGACCCCAGCTGACAAATTGAGCTGGTCGTGTTTAGTGCAGCAGACGAATATATTGGTTATAATAAAACTTCTGAGGCAAATAAAGCAGCTCAACAGGGGGTCATAAGGGTGCTTTATGAATGCAAATTGCATTTAGTTTTAATAGTGAGGTTGTAAAAATAAACTCGTCAAAGGTCTCTTTGATGGATCAAAGTGTCTGTTAAATGTGCTGTGTGATGGGTTGCATGGTAGAGCAATTTCGTATCAGCTGAAATGTACAAGCTATTAAAAGGGCAGCCGAAATTTCATAAGAACATTCTCTGGGAAATGACAATGTGTAAATAGGAGAAAAGGGAGAACTAGTTGCACCAAAAGCAACCAAGATTTTTAGACTTCGTGCATGTGCAGGAAAAGAACATTGGAAACAAATAAAATAAATAGGCCTGCAGGTAAAAAAGTATGTATGTATCTGAAACCACGGGAGCGTACAGTGTAGGAAGTACACACCCTGGTGATAGACACACTTGAGGAGATCACACTGGATTTGCCAAATATCATGAGGAATCTAGAGAATGTAGAATGGCTATAATGTTATAGGTGCATTGAGAGCGGCCCTATGGTGATGCTGACACTCCTGGCACCAACACAATATATGTGCATTTGATAGGTTCTGTAAAAAGACGAGGCGTAGCTAAGTGGTAGTGGTTATGTTGCGGATAGCAACCTTTTTTTGAGATTTGAACATGAGGCCAAAACCTATAAAATGCACTTAAAGGGATAATGTAGGCATCAAAAGAACTTTAGCTTAGTGGAGCAGTTTTAGTGTACACGTGATCCAATGGATATACTTGTAGTCAGATTATGCAGTAAAACCAACTTTATTCCAAACGAAATTATAAAACAAAATTCAAAGCCAGAGCAGCAATGTCCTGATCAGCTCACCATCCTAACACGAAGTGCAACGTCTCTAAGTGGCAGGTAGGTAAATAATACCGTGTTCACTGCTCCCTCTCGGCTTGGCAGCTTTCTCCGTGTGAGTGTACTCTGTGTTTTCTGTTTCTGGCATGTGACGCGTTTCGCCCAACCTCGTGGGGCATTGTCAAACGTTTGAATTTTGTTTATAATTTTGTTTGGAATAAAGTTGGTTTTACTGCATAAGCCAGCTACAAGTGTATCCATTGGATCATGCGTACACTAGGGGCTGATCCCCCTGAGCTATATAGTTTGGAATGGTAATTCAACCACTCTACATTTGTGAGTTTTTACTTCTGAGTATGTGTAACGGAACTCCCCGTACTCCGACCGAGTACCTTTCCGTTGATAGATGCTTCCTAGCCTGCACCGCACTGGACACCACAACCACCGCAGACTCCACAACTGCCGTAGCTTAACTGGAGTCTCGCCGTCTTCTGTCCACCCTGGATCAGCTTCTGTCCTCCAGGACCGTGTGGGGAAGACCTCTCCTCCAGGAGAGCGTATCAGGAACAAGCTCTTAAAAGCGCTAAGTGATTAAAGCTCAGGGGAGTATGTAGAGCATAGCAATCCCCAGTGTGAGTATAGCTGTCCCCTCCAATCACGAGACAAGACTACGTGTTGAGGGTCAAGAAGAACTGACTCCACTGAGCGTTTATTGCTGCTTTTATGCAGGATTTTACAGGTTAGACACCACCCAGTGGACCTTGTGGGGCACCGACAATACAGTTACAGCAACCAATCATACACAAGATGACAATAGAGCACACCCAGCAGTTACAGTGAATTCCTCCCCTCTGCTTAGGAGATAATTGAGTTAATTAACTGTATCTACTCAATTATCTCCAAGATGAAAAGTTATCCTATATATATATTCATAACTTTGTTTACATGCGATATCAATAAAACAGCATAATTGGGGGGACAAACATATCCAAAATTCACTTGAATCGGTTAAGTGGTTCAGGAGATAGGTGGAAGTCGTATTTTGACCGAGGTGGGACAAAACACCCAGTTCCAACTGGTTTGGCAGTGTCCCTGGGAAAACGCCCTGCTGGAGAACAATGGGACAGGGGGAGGGGAAGAGGCACACCTTCCCATGGATTCAAAGGGCAGAAAAAGTGTCACAAAAGATTCAATATGTCCATACACTATTTTTAAAGGGCCATACACCCCAGGGCCATAGTCATGTAGCAGGAGGCTGGCAATCAGTCCTCTCCAATGCCCAGTGGCAAATGGCAGTTTGTCACAGTATGTTTTATTGCATATAACAAGTCCAGGCAATATTGCACGAGTTGTTTCTCTATTTATCTTTTTTAGATTCTACATATTGTGGATTTCC